CTCGAAAGAATGTTAGGAAGTCTTTTCATTATCTCTGGAGAATAAAGTGACATGACCTAAAGAAATATGGAGAGCCGTTTGTTTTATCATTCATAAATAACTACCGTTGCTAATTAATTACTAATAAATATTCACTGTCAGCCCGCTTCACTTCAAACATTTTTGAAAGGAATTTAACTTAAAGTCACACCTGGTAGTCTGTTAATATACCCTTAATGGCTTCCTGGCTTTTCTCATAAACTTTTCGCCCATTGGCTGGTTGATGTTTCTGTTGCCAACCCAGAGGATGCTGCATGTGTTTTGTGCAAAAAAAGTTTGGCACTACGACGTTATAAAATACGTAACAATCTTTTTTACATTTCTATAGTTATACATGTCTAGAATTTCATTCACAAAGGTCTCAAAAGGCTTTAAATGTGAGTTGGTGAAACCTGCAGGAACCCCGGTAGAGAAGATTTAGCATTTCAGCCCGACTTTTCAGCTTCGGCTGAATTTCTTGCTTAATACTGACTGTAAATGTGTAAATGAAGCTGGAAAATGTCAGCTGTTGACATCAAAATCCAAAAGCTGTCGAGCCAGCTGGACCCCTGCCTGCAGCTTTTTGATATCTGGCTCTTCTTCAAATTGAATGTCTTTTAGCCTCACTGACTGAAATGATTGCTCTTCCACTTGTCTGCCAGACCTGAGCTGATTTGCTCCTGTTGACTTTGACCTCGGCGAGCGGCCGCGTGAATTAAACTACGTCCTCTGGTGTTTCAGGGAGCACTCTGGGCTTTTTCACATCGTTGTCGCGTATTGACCACATAGTGAAGCGTGATATTAGGTGTAGGGCTCCATGCCGGGATGCTTCAGAGCTTTAACGATTCGAGCCCTTGCTTACCCATCTGAGGTGAACGACGGGTGGGAGTGTGGTGGTGGTGGAGGTGGCGGGTGGGGGGTTAAGCTGGAAAATAAAAAATCTCACTTTGGTGAAAACTAGAGGGAGTAGAAAATATGAATCTGCTGCTAGATAATGATTACTTTGGAGCATGGGATTTATGTTACATCATGTACCATCTTACAAGGTGGAAAGTTTGTCAGGGGTTCCACTTCTTTATTTTCAGTTTCTCTGTAAATTAGCTTCATTCCCACAAAGAGAGAATATATATATATATATATATATATATATATATATATATATATATATATATATTTATATATATATATATAAATTTACTAATAAAAAAAGGTCTGGCAGATTTTTTTAAATAACAATTTCAATTATAGAGGAACAAAACAAAGCAAATTCCAATAGTTTAAAATTTGAAAGTGATCTGCTCTGGAACGGCAGAGAATTTCTGCATTCAAAAAGATATTTTTGTCAAGATAGAGCTTGCAGTACGATGTCTGAACAAGTTATGGATACATTATTTCCACGGCTATAAGTGCCAGGAGATTTTCTTTTCTACTGTCTCTTACTGTATTCACACGAGGCAACACACATAATTGCTACAAGCTGAAATAAATTGCGGCACTGAGTCCTTCCTCTGCAATAGAATCCGTCTCTGTCACCAAAATGAATCACCAGGTGTTTGGACAGGCCCTCACCACCAGCAGCTCACTGTGGTAAACCAGCAGAGTATAAAGGAAAATGAATTAACACGCAGCCTTACAACTGCATGGTGCAGTAATGGAGGTCTTTGTGCATCAGAGGCTCCAGCTCCAGGGTTAACGTTTCTGTATGCAGCTGCAATTGAAAAAAATATTTTTTAAGGGCTTGTCCTCGGTCGACATGAGCCGAGGACAACAGGAGGGTTAAAACATCCATATTGAAATACTGAAGTAAAAAGAATCTTATGATCACACCACGGATTACTAATTTAAAGGTGTTAATGTACAACTTTCTAGTGTTAGTGGGGCGAAGAAATCTGACCAGGGCTGTCAAAATGTCCCTCATCATCACCTTTGATTAGCAAAACAAGGTAGCATTGACTTGTTTGTCCTTCAAACATTTTTAACTTTGCAAATCTGTAGAGAAAACTCTTATGTTAGATGAAATTTGGGGATTCAATGTTTTCAATGTTTTGTTTTCTCATGGTGAGGTCTGACAAGCCTTTCTTCAACTTTCAAACGTTCCAATTGGGAAAAATTTTTTAATAAAATCATGTGGTCTTGCAAGTGGCTTTAGTTTTGAAACTCCTTCCAGGATTCAGCCACCAATTGTGTAAAAGTTACTGACACTAAGTTTTGTGGACTGAATTCTTTTCATCCTTTTTTTTTTTTTGCTGTCACACCACACAGGCATTTTCTTGTCATTTAATGCCAACGCAGGGTTCCCACCTATTTAAAAAAAAAGAAGAAAAAGAAAAGCAACACTCACCCTAAAACGCCTTCTCCCACCTGCAGTTAAAAGTTAAAGCTCAGTAAATATCTGCACTGAATAAAGTGTGTGTAATGCAATCCAACTGCAGCATTTCATTAGTGTCTCACATTTTTTGTGGACCACCATTCAAATGGTGGTGAGCATAAAACCTGTTTAGTTAGAACAGTGTTAGAAATGCGCCTCTGCCTTTTCTCCTCGCTGTCAATTAAGTGTCGTAATCACCCTCATTCGGGCGTTGCCATAGCGCTGCTGTGAAAGAGCAGATGTGAGTTCATCTCTAATGAGATCAACCGCAAACATCCCAGCAAGACCTGATCCGCTGCACTTCATTACCTCTCCATCATTCATCATGGTTACCTGGTTTTTATCGTTCCCAAACTTTCTTATTCGTCAGGAACTTTTGAGTTTTTGAAGAGTCCCCAGCCCTCTGAAGGGATAAGATGCTTTATGGGAGGGGGACAAAAAAAAAACAACCAAAAAACGTAGAGATTTTCCAGGATCCACCTTCAACTTAAAAGGAAATTCTTCGAAAACATCATAATCCTGAGACTTGAAACAGAACTTTGATATGGTGAGAACTCTTTGTGCTCTTTAAGCTTTGGAGGCTCTTGGTTGTGCTCATTAAATCACAAGGAAGTGACAGATGCTGGCGACTTAAACTTAAAAGGAGCTACAGATAGAGGTTGAGTTATTAGAGTGTTGACAAATGGTGATGAAGGTGTGATATTCATTCAGTCACCTAAAAGACATCGACTGTTTCGAGTCAACAGGTCTGACTCAACCGGCTGCCATGTTTTCAGTTTCTATGCTTCACTTACCTTGAACAAACTTCAAGGCTAAAAGACCATTTCCTTTTAGAGTTGCTTTTGATAAATAACAACAGGAACGTCACCAGTTTCATTTTGGATTTCCACTTTTTATTACCTTTTTCATTTCGCCATTTGAGACTGTCGTATGGCGAAATCTCAGCAAGTTCAGGAGATTTGAACACTTAACTGAGACACTTCAACAAACACACGTGTTTTTGTCTCAGCGCAAACTTGACAAAGACCCGCCACAAAGTGGTCAGCGAAGTTGTCTGGTGTTTAAAATACCAACTTTGTCAAAACCTTACATCTCTCCAGGGTTCGATCTTTTCCAATAAATGCTAAAATGTCACAGGTGGTGAAACATTGATCTCAGCAGGTCGCATGCTGACGACTGCTGGTGCTTTTTATATCTCAGGTGGTGCACCGGCCGTCACCAGCTTTGTGATCTCATTAAAAGCACATCAGGTGTGTTGCTCTGGGCTCAACTGCAGAAACAGTGTCTGACTCTCATCAGATTGTGCAGGACTTTGTTGATCTCTGTGCTCTCAGAAATAAAGTAAAGTAATGGTAATGTCACAGGAACGCAAGAACACATTCTCAAAGATCCAATAGGTTAAATTCTAATAAATATTTGGACATAGAGAAATTGTAATAATAATAATAATAATAATATTAATAATAATAAAAGAAGTAATAATAATAACTATTAATGTTTCCTGTCCAGGGTGAATGCCGCCTCTCACCTGAAACGTTCACTGGAGATGGGCACCAGCACCTTCCAGCCCCAACAGGGACAAGGATGCTAGAAAATGGATGGACAGACAATATAATATAAATATATACAATAAAATATTAAATAAATAGGAGTTTTGTTGTTTTATGGCATGAGGGATAAAACTGGAACTGGAAGACATCCAAAATAAATAAACAAAACTACAGATAAAATGAATTATGAAGTCTCTGTAAGCAAAATTGTCCATGAAAAGAAAAGGGCAATTTTAAACCAGACTGATGACTTTTGTCATCCAGTTTTTGGTAGAAAAAAAAAAGAGAGCGAGAGATAGAGAAAAATCATTTTTTTGTATTAAGAATGCTGATTTATTGGCCTATATAATAGTCTAATCTTAAGTTATAATTAACAGAAATATGGGCTGGAGACCTAAGTCTGTGCATAAATAATTTGTGGAACGTGTTTCACTTGCTGAACTGAGTTAAATGGACTTTTCAATAATATTCTAATTTATGAAATTACACTGTCCATGCCCCGGATAAGCAAGTATAGACGGTGGTTTTATGCGTTAAGCATATCTTTCCTGTAATATGTGTGTGTCAGGCTAGAATAAAAAGACTCTGCCACCTAGAGGAGAAACGGAAAAATTACACCATGTAGTTCAAGCCATAAATACAACGTGATCAATCCTGGTTAATCTAAAATAGAGATTAACATCTCTAAAAAAAATTGGGAGTGTAGAACAGAGACACAAATTTCTTTTTACACAGTCATTCATTTGCAAGGTACGTGCAGTTGCTTTATAATAATAATAATAATAATAATAATAATAATAATAATAATAATAATAATAATAACAATAGATCAAATGTTTTAAATGTTTTTTTTACACTGCTTGTTATTGAGGCATTTAATTTAATTAAATAAATATGATTATTTTATATTATGTGTGTAGTTAATGCTGTAAACCTGTGCTGTTTGTGGTCGAAACGAGCTAAAATCAGAAACAGCGGCAGCACCTCTGAACACCTTTGAAGCGCATCTTCTTTCCTCAGGCTACTGTCCCTTTAAGACGCTCCCGTTGACGTTGTGTTTCCGCTGAACCCGGAAGTGCTCGCTCAGGTCGCTCTTTCCAGCACAACAACGCAGTAACAGCGGGTTAGCTATATATATTTTTGTCCTTTTAAAGGCGTATAAAATCTAGGTGAAAATGTCCGGAGGGGTCCAACTGGAGAATGCGAACCCGGTGGTCTTCCAGCGCTCCTTGGACAGGATGCTAACAGCGTCCGAGGAGGACGAAGACGTTCACGACCCCATCGACGACAGGGAGATATTTGATATCCTTAAAAAAAAAAAAAAAAAAATGAGAACATTCCTAAAGTAGATAAAACTCATATTTGTGCCTGTTTTTATATTATTGGGTGCATAAGAGTAGAATAAATCAACAGTTTCAGTCATGCAGAGTGAATGTTTGATGTTCTTTAACTTGCGCTACATCTGATCCGGTCCATCAACGACCCGGAGCATCCGCTGTCTCTGGAGGAGCTGAACGTGGTGGAGCAGGTCCGAGTCCAGGTTCGTGTCTCAATTCTTATTCAGCTTCTGTTTACATCCGTCACTGCCATGGTTCATAATGACTCGTCGTGTGTCCAAATTATTTATGTACAATTTTCATTCAGTTTCTTATATAATCGCACCAAATGTAATCACATTATGTTTTTTCAGCATTAGTAAAAAACTAATACACATAGAAACGCAGCTGATGATAGCATAGCGCAGTACCGCTACTGACCACAGATCCTTAGAGTCCTTTAGATTCCAGACTGGTATTTTCTCATGAGGATTGATTTGATCCACAAATTATGGAGGTGTGCCAGTAGAAGAATCTTTAACTTCAACAAAGTACTTTCCTCTGTTGCTCTGAGTGAATTTACAAATACAAGTTGAATTTTGATGTGTTTGTGTGTGTGTGTGTGTGTGTGTTTATTTTCAGGTCAATGATACGGAGAGTACTGTGAGTGTCGAGTTCACTCCCACAATCCCCCACTGTAGCATGGCAACACTCATTGGTCTGTCCATCAAGGTCAAGCTTTTGCGCTCCCTGCCGGAGAGGTTCAAAGTAAGTTTGCTTGGATATAGAAGATGAACATTAAATATTACCTGCTCTTATGGTAAATGAAAATGCACTGCAGTGTTATTATCTGAATTTTTTAAAATATCTTTTTTTCTTCTTTCACTACTCAGATTGATGTTCACATCACTCCTGGAACTCATGCCTCAGAAGAAGCAGGTAGAAACATGCAAAGCACATCAAATGTTTGAACATGCAGGTGCATATCAAATTGTAGAGAGAGTCCTAGGTAAAATGGCAGTTTTCCCTTGGACAAATACAAATGATTTTTAGTGCTGAAATGGGTGCCTATTGAAAGGATTGGCTTTGTTCTGTGCAGTGTTTTCCACTCAAAACTTGATAAATGCTCCTTTTGTCACATAAAGCAGACTGAACAGGACAGAAATGTATGTTTTTTGTTTCCATCTGCAGTAAACAAACAGCTGGCGGACAAAGAGAGAGTAGCAGCAGCTTTGGAGAACTCGTCTCTGTTGGAAGTAGTCAACCAGTGCTTGTCCAGCAGGACCTTCTAAACATCTTGGACTGAATGATACTTTTCCTTCGTTTCCCAGTTATCATTTACCCACCAGATCATGCCTCTGTCTGTCTGTCTGTGACATGGAGATGGAGCTGATGTACATACAACCAGAAAGGCTGCCGATTAAAAGCTCGTCTCCCAAGTTGGCAAATATTTACCTCAGAAGTTTCTTCAGTAACACATTTTAAGATTTACTTTCTTTTTAAGCCAAAGGTTTTATGTACATCATTTGTTGTTGTCTGTATATAATGCACATATATTTTTAGTAAAATAAATAAAACATGTACTTCCAGCAATTATTTGTTCAATATGTCTTTTGCCCCCAACAACAGGCTGATTATTTTTTCTGCTCATTATTGGGTGTTTTTGATGCTTAAACAGCTGTAAGAAACAGAAAATATTCCAGGTAGCTCAAAATCATATATGACAAACATGGCTTAAAGTCAGACACAGAAGTATTAGGAAAGTCGCTATACCATACAGGTTAAATATTAAGTCTGCAGAACTTGATGGCTGCAGAAGAGGTCATGCAGTCATTGAATAGATACAGGAGGGTTTTAGGACTGGAGTCTAGAAATGCTGGGTCAGATCCAGCTGCTGCAACTTTACACCTTGCATCAAGTTTGAAATGATGTGTTTTCATTAACTGCAGATATGACATTGTAATTAACAGAAAAAAAGGGGTTGAAACCACTAAAATACTTGGAAAAAAAATCTATATAATGTCTTGATCTTTGCAATAACATTCTAATGTCATTCCTGTTAATTATCTTTAGTGTATTACACACACATCCACACCAACACACAATAACTAGGAATTAGTGAGCCATTTTCTACATAAAGATAGTTTATTAGCATATATCATACATAGATCTCTGGATATATAATTGTGATTATATAATACCAACAAGTCAAAAATAATGGCTGTAAGTAAATATTTATATAAAAGCAGATTTACTACTATTAAACTTTAAAAACATGTCTTTCAATATATATCGTAATTCCTGCTTGTTTCACCAAATCTACAAAAACAACGTTTCACAGAGTCAGAAGGTTATACTGTGTTGCCTCAGGATTATACGTCTATCTACGGGTCTCTGCACATACATTATTGTCAATGATTTCACATGGTCCAACAAAAACGTCGCATTCCTTCTCAAAACTACGCATCAATGTCACCAGACAGGATCAGAATTATGTTTTTCAGTGTAAAATGCCTCAAAACCTTCCGCTTATAAATAAATGAACCATTTGCCTTTTCTTCAGGAGATGGAAAACTAGGTGCTTTAGAAGCTACTTCCTGTCATATGACATTTCCAAGACTTAAGGCCAATTATTCTTGGCCGTAATAACTTGTAGCTGTGCTTTATCTGTCAAATGAATAAATCACAGGCTCAGACTTTAGAAGCGTTTCTGTGTGGAGCGCTGAATTCATCCAACATGGATCCCAGCGAGGGGAAAAATTCAACGTGGTTCTGTCGCAAAGCGAGGTGAAGAATTTTATGGGGACAAAAGTGCATGGGAGAGACTGTCGATAAATATTTCATATATTTCACAGAAGCCTGTTTACAACAAAGTCTTCCTGTAAATGAAGCTAATTTAATAATAGGCATGCTACATTTTGAGTCACTGTTTCGCCATATTGAAGCGGGGCTCTGTTAAGAGTTTTTGACCAGTAAGTCCGTGACCTGGCAGTCTATGCGCACTGTAGGCAAAGAGAGACACCTAGTTTTTGTTTTGTTTGAAACAGTAAAACTTCTCCTCTGCAGCTTTTTCTGTTGCCAGAAAAAGTTTCACACCTTCATGTGTCGACGCACATTGAAAAAGAGTCTCACCTATGGTAGAAAGGCTCTTTTATTTCTAACAGTAAACACTTGGCGATAAAGCGTATTTTTTATTCATGTCATGTAAATAAATAGTTCATAAAATAGGAACAGTTCTGTCTAGCAACATGAAGTGAGAGTGTCTTTTCGGCAGATCAATATACGCTCCAAGATGGTTGCTGTGAATAACAGACATTTATGTAATCAGACATGATGCCTGTTTAAATGGTTTGGCAAACTTCATCACATCGGGGCTGAGTATGGATTTCTTTTTTCCCCCATGTGTTCTTACTACCTGAATTTGATGAAAAAGCTACTGGCTTATGTACTGCAGGTAGAATATTTACTGTTCATGGTCTCTTAATAGAACCCCACTTTGCGAAAACGCCTCTCCACAAGGTGGATTTCAAACCTTCATTAAAGAAATTTACTGAAGGAATATATGCTGCAATTTATTTTTTTTACTCTTACAGAGTTCTAAATATGTTGGCACGGTGTTCTTTTTTGGAACCAACATCTTGAGCAAAGCTCTTGCAGCACAAAGAACTTTTGTACAATCTCGCTTTTTCGAAAGAAAGAGCTGCGCTCTTTTGTTCAACAAGCAGGAGTTAATGGAGAAATAAATGAAAGTAGAAGATAGAGTAACTCAAAAGATGAACTGTAACATGTTGAATTACACGCTGAATTGCACAACAGATAATTGCTGTCCAGTTACATGTCGCGTTGCTTGCTATTTATAAAAACGTCGCTGACGGTACATTGTCACTGACCCAGAGGTGCACAAAATGGCGCACACACAAGCACAGCACCACGAAATGAGAGCTGACACAAAGTTTATAATACTGCAGCACTGTTGACGTAGGAGCAGATCTTCATTTAAAAAAAAAAAAAAGAATATTTCCAAACAAATTTATAACCCTGTTGGAAACAGCAGAGTAAGGTGCTCATAACTTCATGCTACATTTGTAGAAGTCGTACACACACCTTTCAATCTCACATCCATTCTCTGAGAACTGAAGGTAACGTGTGCTGGTAATATTTGTTATATTTCATTATGTGGAACAGCTCTGCGTTGGTCATTTTACACAAACTATGACTTTATCAGAAAGTCTCATTTTATTGGTGGAAATTGCATGGTGTGATTTCGACCCTCATTTTTAATCTGCAAGAATAACTTTGTACTTATCCTTTGCTACTTGTGCTATACAAAAATACATATGGTTTGAATTTGACATCCAGAAAGTATGAAGTTAGGCTTAGGGAATAAATAAAGCAGTAACAATTATGGATGGCAGCTTTATAAGAATTGAACAGAGATCAGATGCAGGTCATAAGCTGAAGGGGTATGTATTCCTATCTCACTACCATTCCCATATTACTAAAGGTCATTGTTCGTGACCTCCTCAGAATTAATTAAAGCTGCCCTATGTAACTTTTATCAAAGATTTTTACATATTTGTAATTATCACCATGTTGTGGCAGTATAATATGACGCAGGTAATCTGTGAAAAGATTGTGCTGCTATTTCTGTCTGAAGAAATGCACCCAGTCCCAGTGAAAAACACCCACTCAAAGCCAGGAGGAGTGTCTTAGCACTGCCAATCATTCCCATGAATGCGCTGCTAAATGTGCTAATGGCGGGGAAACGACTCTCCTATGTAAGAAAACCGTTTATCCGCTGTCATTGGTGGCCATGCTAAATGTCCCTAGCATTCACAACAGGCTCTGAAGCTGAACTGTAGCGGAGAGAAAGGAGGGGAGCGAGGGAGCGATGATTGACAGCTCTAAGCGGAGACTCTCCTCCTCGCTCTGACTAGTTGTTTCTCGTTAACACTGGAAGCACCGAGAGACGTGAGAGGAGCTCGGTTGTTTTTCACCGATTATTTGTCCCAAACATGTTACAAATGTGTGAGGATATGTTTTTTTTATTTTTTTTTATAAAAGTTACGTACTGCAGCTTTAATTCTCACGAAGCCCATAAACCTCCAAAAGTGTGAATGGAAAAAGTAATTAGTTACAGAAAAATGTTGACATCTTTATTCTCCTCTCTAGTCTGAAGAATGTATGAAAACAATAAAGTTTTCTTACTAGCTATCCTCATGCCGACAGGTCATCCTCTAGATTTGTTTACCAAAAATGTTTTTTGCTTTTATTGTAAGCAAATTTGTCTATTTTTCTGTAAAGCTGCAATTGGCAGCTGTGGTTTACTGTCCTTAAGTGACAGTAAACTACTCAACTTTGGACGACAGTCAGGAACTTTAGATCTTTCTTCAACGGTGGTTCTGGTGGTGGAAGTTAATGGGTCCAATTTATTTTAAGACTTTGAATTCCTTCCCTATTTCAGATTAAGAGATTAGTCCCAAAATTAGGCTTTGAAATCCTCTTTGAGAGATCAAAATTGTAAACTTTTGAATTACATTTTGAACATTCGATCCCTTCATCATGACCTTTCATTTTATTAGTTGCTCTATAGGATCGACATCACAATATGTGCTGCACAAATATTATATTGAAGTCGTCATCCTGGTATAAGTGTATGCAATACTGCAATTGAAAAGGAAAGCTCACGTTCATTAGTTGGTAGATTTGTATACATCAGATGTCTTATTCATTCACGCTCTGCATATTGATCATATATTTGACCGAACTGCCCGTAAATGACCAAACCTGAAAATGTGGGTACACTGTAATCAATACCTTCACCAAATACTCTCACCCTGTCCAGGGCGTACCTCGCCTCTCCTCCTCTGGCTGTTGGACGTAGCCACCAAGTCTCTCGTAGAGTTTGACATAATGTGTGGATGGATCTCCAAATTTACATACATTTTTTTGGGTTGTAATAAATACCCAATAATGTTTAGGAAAATAATGAATTCTTAAAATGTATACTAACATTATCAGACAGATTGGTTTATGAACAATAAAATAGTTAACATAGCCACAGAGTGTTGCATATTAATAAGACTCTATTAATATGTTTAAGGAGCATCGTGAGCTATAGGCTGCATCTAAGGATCTGCTTACAAGCTACAAATGGGTTGATTGATTACAGTAGCAAGATGGCTTTGCTGAACAATATTTTATGATTTTAAGATAAGAGCTTCGCACTAATCCACACTTACACTTCCCCTGTCCTTACACCGCCAGTCTTTTTGAAAGCTCCTGCACCAACTTCTCCATCATCTATTGTTAGAGGACAAAAGTATTGAACCTGCCTGATGATGATGGCCAATATAGCAAGAGAAAATATCCTTTGAATTAGAGTTTGTGCTTTAAAAGTATGTTTTGTTCCAAAGCAGGAGCCACATTTAGGACTTGGGTGTTTTCAGTGTTTCGAATGCCAGCTCTTTTTGACCTTCAGTGCTAGTATCAGACGTTGCTTCTCGTACCGAGCGTCTTCTAAGAGGATGCTCTCTTTCAAAAGAGGTAGAACCATATTGTTGGCAACAAGGATTCTGAGCAGCTTCAGTCACTTCTTTCTCTTTCTTTTGGCAAAGGAGGGATAAGTCCTCACCTATCCAACATGACGAACAACATCTATCGTTGTTCGTCGTCGTGCATAGTAGCATTAGCAGCAACAGGAGAAAGGGCAGAATGTGTGTTTCCAGAGTTTCACCTCTCAGGGGCCGTGTTTCATTCTTCAGCGTCTTTGTTTGACGCCGATTCATTTTCAACTATTTATCCACCCCGTTAAGCGTTAGTCCGTCCCCCCCTCTGACAACACACATGTCTCAGTTGTGTGTGTTGTCAGAGCAGCATCAGATCAACAGGCGTGTCCTGGTCAGGAGGCGTCAAAGCTGAAAGACAAGAAGGTAACAAACAACTGTTTTCAACGTATTTGTGGACTCAACAGAAAGCAGGGTTGTGTCTTTGCAGTGGGCTGATATGTTCTGCCCATAACACTAACTGCACATTAAATATTCATTTCTTCCTTTTTAAAGAAGCTTCAAATTTGTGACCCCAAGTGGCCTGAGGGAACAAACCTACATTATTTTAAAGTTTAAAGTTGAAATGGACTGGCCTCAAAACACAGAACTCAGTTGAAACACAGTTTCAGTATAATGTTAGATGTCTTGCTGGCTCAAATTGTACATGGGGATTTGGTTCCATCAGAAGGCTACTACAACAGAGTAGGGAAATGATTCTCACCTGTTCAAAAATGTCATTTCTTTTATTTGGAGACAGAGTCAGACAAGATGTAACTATACTGACAATAAAGCATGTCAAAAGTTATTCAACTTATGACAAGAATCATATTAATAATGACTTTTAATCCTAAAGAACCAAGAAATGTACTCATATTGTTACTCAAAAGAATAGAAAGGAGTGGATGGCCTTTCATTTGGAGAAGAAAAGCACCACAATTTGTTTCCCATATTGGAAAAAATAAGACTTCCTGTTGCAGTTCTTCTTGTTTCTTGTTTCAACTGAAGAAACTGCAAAGCTGCACCCCCAACTGACCTGGAGGTGCAGGATTCAATTATTTTAAGATATCTTAAAAAAAAGGACTTAATTGTGAATTTGTGGCAATGAGTCACAATCAAGATGAAACCCTTTAAAGTTGATAGAAATTACACAGAGAAGTCAAGTTAAGCACAATTTGAGTGGCCAAGATAGATGATGATTTGGCTCCATCGTGTGGCCAGTTGGAATCACTACATGATCGTGGGAGCGTGTTTCTCACATGTGGTATTGGAGGTCTCAGTCCTTTAGATAAAGGGAAAGTCTACCCTTTATCAAACCATGAACCGGATGGTGTAAGCAGTTTTAAATAACTTCTATTGCGTGGTATTTTTTTTCAGTGTTTCAGTGTGGAGAAGGCTTACCTGTCCCAAAGCTTTACAGTCCGACAGGAATTGGTGCAGCAGCCAGCAGATACCAGTGCTGTAAAAATCACCACAAGCAACAATTAGAATGTGTCACAGCTCCGATTGAAGACAGTAACAAAACGTAGCCTGACAAGTAAAAAGGTTCTCTGGATGAACCTGTGTTACTCCACCACTCAATCCATGTGTTACACACTCAGCCTACTCTTATTCATTCGGTGACCTGCTTACGCCTCTGCTTGTGTCCCAAAGGTCTCGCCTGTCAGAGAGACACACTCTACTGTCTCCCTCTCTCTTATACTGGGCAGGATTATGGTCTGGTTCACAGCTGTGTATTCTGTTTTGCTTCAGTGCATCTTATTGTGTCTGTCAAGCACATTGATAGATGGAGAAACAGGCATGACTTAAGAAGAGGACGAACTCTGTCTGAACGTCGAATATCGAAAGTTGGGACATCTGAACGAACATTTTGAACATTCACTCACTATGGAAAAGATTGTTTTGCTGCGTTTTTTACTAAGTAACTTAACATCTTTTCTACAAATATTCTGCTATCTCTAGGAATTCCATTCGTTCTTGTTATTTTAACACAAGGACAGGTGCTATCACAAATAACATCTCACAAGTAAACTCAGGCAACATGTACACAGTATGCAGTCATAACAGGACTGAATGGTAAATTCATACAGCACTCTTCTAGTTTTACCGACCACTCACACAGTCTTGCAGCTGTTAGGAATTATTGCAGGATATATGAATCACATCACTGCACACAGGCCAGATAAAAGTGTTCAGCAGATCTCATCAAACAGCACCAAGACAAAGAAGAAATGGTTTGTGTCTTTAAATAAGGATGAAGCACTCAGTCCACCATCAAAGGACACATTCACTCTAGTAAGAGGACGACGAGTCCAATTCATATCCTTCACAGACACACTTTCATACAAAGTGCATATACAGCACGGCATTAATTTGAATACATGACAGAGGAACATGCTTGAGGCTGACACCTGGACACTATTGTTTCCCATCTGTTCGTTTTTTTTACCAAGATATTTTCATTTGGAGCATTTGCATGTGTGTATGACTGGAGTGTGTGCATGTGTGCGTGTGTGTGTGTGTGTGTGTGAGGTGGTCAACGCAGGTCTGGGGTTGGCATAATTGAAGATAAAAAGGGACTTCAAAGCTGACGGGAGATAAAATGGCAGGGAAGCAGCTGCTGGCCTAGTTAGCATGTCTGTCTTTAATACAGGACCTCCAATCATAAATTACACAGAAATAGAAACACACACACACACACCATGAGCACACAGTCACTCATATTACATAACATTTTTAGGCATATTATAAGCATTTGATGAGCCACTTGACTTTCTTTCTTGTGTCCACACAAGAGACTGAAAATTTGTCATCTTTGTCACACACAGAAACAAGATGTAAATCCCAGGGTGCATTCTGCCACCCATTTGTTGAGACCAGAAATGTATTTTCCATTTCGTCCATAAACTACACTTGCGCTAGGCCTCAGCTACAGAACTGAAGCGCAGCTTCTATGTTGCATTTACATGCAAGTGTCTGTGCCTCACTGTATGCATACACCCACCATGCACTTTGCTGCTGTTTGAGCCAAACTAACCACTAGGCAGCACAAATTACTCTGATGTCCTCGTCCATCAGTTGATTGGTCGAGGACAATCAACTGATGCCTCATCACACAAGTCCAAAAGGAAATTAATGGGGAGGAACATGTCTAGATTAACGTTCAAAACAAATTAAATTCCTTTAAATCATTAAACAACTTCGTTAATTTCCCCTTGGGTTCAAAAATTTATTTTTGATTTTGAAATAATCCAAACATGCTGTGGAGCACTGTTTGTGTCTTGTGGCGCTGTGGAGTGGAGCATCATTCATTGTTCTGTTAGTCAATGACAGAACAATGTCATTGACTAACAGAACTGACCTCGGCGCCTGAGCTTATGTTGTTGGTTATTATGTGCAGTGGTTTCCCAGCAGCATCAACACATCGATCACGGCGCTTCATTCATGTCTTTTCTCCATTGTGCCTGCAAGCCTGTAAAACAAGAGTGCATTGGCCACTGCAGAACAACCTGAGCCAGTTAGTGAGACGGGTGGGGACCGGGGACAGATCTTGGTGGAGGTTAGGGTAGTTCAGCACCACCACTGTTTCAATCTGACATACGTGTTGGAGGCTAATAGTCTTGTCTTTCCTCATCTCAAGGTCAATTGTTTCGTAAAAGCACGAACTGTTATAAGCAGAAGAAGAAAGGAAAGTTACTTGGTGCCCATTGAATTATTTAGCACACCGACTGCAGTGGAGACAGACCTTCAAAGTTAAAGACCCTTCATTTGTAAAGGTACTGGACTGTGATGGAGGCTTCCTGATTAAGATTTACATTAGCTGCATGCAAGGCGGCACCGAGAGGAGAGGAGCCGCTCTCAAAGGTGGGGTCGCTAAGAAAGAGAGCCATGTGAAAAAAAGACATGAAAGCAGGAAGGATGACAGATGAAGATCAGAAGATGGGTATCTTCTTGTGCAGGAGCAATGGACATATTGAAAGGCAATAGAAAACCATTGACACCTATAGATTAAATGCAATATATGTTGGACAATGATTGATTTTGTTAATACGATGATTCACATCTATGGTTTCACTCTTTGCTGATAGAAACCATTTCATAAAATATTTACGCTGGGTGTTTCATTTTGTGTACTAAGTATGTTGGAAGGGGATGTAGAGGTAAAGGTGAAGGTAATTTTATTTATGTAGCACATTTTCAGCAGCAAGGCTAATCAAAATGCTTTACAGCAGAAGTCCCCAACCACCGGTACCGGTCCGTGGTCCAATTACTACCGGGCCGCACAAGAAATAATTCAATATTTCCGTTTTATGTATTGAGTCTAGAGGATCCTTTATTTTCATTCCGGCATTTTTGATGGCTTGTCCCCACACAGGGAAAACTTATCTTCAACACTACCAGTCCAATAGTTACTTCACTGCATTTTTAATAACCTATTTTATTAAAAATAAAATAGTCGTGGCATACCTGTTATGAACTACTCCTTGCTTAGATGGCAAGGCCTGGTAATTTCACTTTTCTTCACAGAGAAATGGCCTAGCACTTCTTGTTAAGAGCCTTTGTAATAAAGCAGATCAACAACTCCTGTCCCCTGCTCCACAGCAGAAAGGACTGCACGTTCCGAACTGTAATCGTCCTCTGAATGTCTCACATTGTGCTGCAAGAACTCTAATACGAACAACCGATGCTCAGACACACACGTTCAGCACTCATTCCCAATCTATGGCTGCGGTGATGGTGCTCTGAGACCGAGGGAGATGTGCGAGCATCGTTGGGAATTTACTTAGCAGCACGGCACAGCTGATGTAATTCTCAAGGGTCTATAGGTTATGAACCGATATCCGTCTGGCTCTGTGCTTCACGCTGCTCCAAACAGATTACTGTGAAGCACGAGGCGACAGCGGTGAGAGATAGGAAAAGACAGAATTAAATGAAAATGTGCAGCATGCCAGAGCAACTGCGAGCTATCTGGAAGCTGATTTTATTCTGAAGATGCACATGACTACCAGGCTCATGCTGTGCCTTTAGGCAGCACATCCAAAGGCACATTTGCTCCTGTGTCTCCCTGGATGCAACGTTCTAAACCTGATTGGAAGGACATTTCTAGAAGCTTATGTGCCCAGTTGTCAACAAACTTACAATAACGATGCTCCCAAAAGAAATTCGAATTCAATAGTCCTTTATTGATCCCAAAGGGAAAAAAAAATGCTAACTCGTATTCGATTCAAAACTCATGACAGTTATTTTAAGTGTAGAGAAAATCTTAAAATGTGTCATATTTATATTCTACCACCTCTTCTCCCATGACGGAAACAGGATTTAACACTTTTTATCCAGAATTCTACATGAGATTATTATTTTTTTCAATACCATGCCTCCAAGCGGTCCACCAACTCTGTGCTCACATTCTTGTCCATCTTTGATAACCTGGCAATTGTTGAATCATCTGAGTATTTCTGCCAATGATGGGAGAGAAAAGGAATGGTGAGAGTACAGTGCCCTGCAGTGCTCCTACGTTACTAACCGTCTTGATGTCAGACACACAGTCCTTCCCTTTAGTCTCACAAACTGAGGTCTGCTTGTGAGGTAGTCATAGATCCAGATGCAAGAAACTGTAAGTGCAGAGCAAAATGTCAGGCATCTGGATTCAACGTCAGACACATTTTTGACTCACATAGCGCGTTTGGCGTGAGTCTTCTGCGGTATCTATTTGTCATAACTTTCGGTTTTCTTCTTTGTTATTTTCTTCTTATAGCTTTGAACTTTTAGTTCTGATCCTGACCAAATCAACCTTCCCTTTTAGAATGAAAAGAGAAATTTAATAACGTTCAATGGTAAAAGGCATTTATGTGGTGATCTAACACGTCAGAGAACTCCAAAGTGCTTCACAGCTGAATCGGTAATTCAGCCTTTCGTCCACAGACGGTGGTAAGCATCATCGTCTGCCACAGCTGCTCTGAGGCAGACCACCTAGCCCTCTGACCACCACCAGCAGGTGAAATGTCTTGTCCAAGGACATGAAGGCTTGCAGCCTGAATGAACCAGTACCGTTAGCCTCCAACATTTTTAAGAAACTCAGCGACTCTGAAGTTACTTCGCTTTAACTTCCTGAATTTTTTTCCACTTAGTGACAACAGTAACACAAACGATTGCGACTGTCAGTGCAAACTGGTAGCTCCAATTTACCACATGGTGAGTTTACTGATTGGCAAGAGATTTTTCTTTTTTCATGTATTTGGTCAGTCAGACATAACATGTCTGATTCCAGTCAAAAACTAGTTCCAGAATGCATCTTTACTTGCAACTACAACAGAAAACATGATGACAACAGATTAGTATTCACTCCAGTTATTATATAAGCAGACTGATATTAATGTCATAAGATGATCAATATCATTTCCACATATTTTAGTATGTTGTTTTAGATGTTTGGCTCAGTCGATTGAAGTCACTAAGGTTCAAACGAGCAGGACGATCTAAACGCGCCACCATGTTTAGCTCCCATTCTTTCACAATAACCATTTGCAAGGCAGCTATCGAGACATTTCCATGGCTCTGCTTTGACAAACTGCCATCAGCTGCTGGCCATGATCGACATTTTCTGTGCTTCAAAATTAAGAAAGGACTCCTCAGAAGGCCGATATGTTTCTTGTTCTGTTATTTTTTCATTAATTTTTTTCCCACAGTCCAGAACGTATAAGATAACAAGGCACAAGGGCAATAATGTGCATGTGTAAGCAGCTCCTGGCTGCTGCTGCTGTTTCTCTCAGCTCCTGACTGAGCAGAGACAAAGCTGAGAAAAGTATTCCTGTAGGAGTGCAACTTGACCATCAGCATATACGTGAAGACACACACACACACACACACACACACACACACACACACACACACACACACACACACACACACACACACACACACACACACACACACACACACACACATATATATATGTGTATATATATATATATGTTTTATAGTTTTGCTTTATTTATCTTGTCATTCAGAATTAATGGCCATCATAGCAGAAAAGACAATAAATGTATTCTCATATCTTCCTTTACACCTGGATCAATCAATATTAGCATTGGCAGGTTGAAGCTTTGCAAAAACTGAGAAAACTATATATAAAATCCTGATTATTGCACCTCTTCTAATGATAAATATAGCAATCTGTGCTAATAATTTAGCAGTAATAGTAATATTTGAATTGAGAGTGAATGTGCCTACCATTGTACAAACTCTGATGATGGGGGCTCATCTCTTCTCCAATAGCCCTCCTCTGAGCCCTCTCCCTGCCCGGGGACCCCCCGCTCTGCCTTCCCTTGCTGTTCTCCCCTCCAGGGCTGTGATGGTAATCATGGTGGTGCCGCACAGACTCTGGACTCCCAACAATCACCCGGCCTTTCTTCAGGTACTCCAGGGTCCCTGATGTGGGCTGCTTAGCTTCAGGACCTTTGCAGCCAGCCCCCAGATTGTCTCCCTGGAACCTCCTCTGACTCAGCTCCGGGCTGGACTTAGCCGACCCCTTCATGCAGGCTGCTGATGCGTGCCCTGACATCAGAAACTGTTTTGGAGCTAGTAGCTCAGAGCTGGAGGGTTTGGAGTTGGAGTCACAAGGTAGCCTGGTGGGGGATTTGCTGTTTTTCTCAGCCCAAGGTCCTCCAAATCCATAGGGTGCTAGGTTTATAACGGACCCACCACGGGGGCGGCAAGACTGAGGGAAGGTTTGGTACTCGGGGGTTGAGTTGTTTCTCCTATCTGGAGATTCACACATATCTCTGTGTTTCTCCCAGGACCTTGCACTGGAGCTCAGAGTAGGTGACTTGTGGTGGGGTTTATCTGGGCTATCTGTGCTTCCTGCGCTGGAGGTACTACTCCCATCGCCAACGTCACGCAGCAAGCCAGGTGTAGGCCCGCCCCCTCCGAGCTGAGACAGGCTGTTCTGGCTGTCTATTGAGCTCCTGCAGCCGGGATCTCCCTGGGTGTGGGCCCCTCCTCCGGCTGTGGCAGCGGCTCGCTCCTCCTCCAGCATGAAGCACACCTCCTTCAGCTCCAGATTCTCCTGGACAACCTCCATCTGCCGCTGCTCCAGCTCCTTTAACTTCTGCAGGTAGACGGCCACCTCCTTCCTCATCAGCCCCGAGCTGAAGCGGCCCAGGCGCTGCCACTCCCGCGAAACCCGCTTCCCCTTCTGCCGGTCGTCATCCAGGAAGCAGCACAGATCCCGCAGCTCCTGGTTGTCCTCCTGCAGTTTCTGGTTCACGTCCTGGTTTACATAAATCCAGCATACACACACACGCACGCACACACACACACACACACACACACACACACACACACACACACACACACACACACACACACACACACACACACACACACACACACACACACACACAAATAGAGAGCAGATAAGCAGAGAATGACATGCACATTTCTGTTGTGACTGATCATTTGACGACAGACAAGCCTTAATATTTTTAGCTACTTTCTCAAATCCAAGTGACAATTTTGTTTGACCTTTTCAACAGTTTGGGTAAAATGATCAAGGACAAATGTTGGATTTTACTGTTAAAGTGAAACTGAAGCTGCGGCTAATATCTGATCCAACTATTAAATATCTGTTCTGACATTTCTCAAGATAAGTCCAGATAGAGAATCAATAACAACCTACAGAAAAAAAAAAACCATCAGAAAGGAAGCAGCCAATAGTAGACATTTTGCCTCTTTGTCGTGATACAGCCACTGGCCTATTCCAACCCCAACTCCAATAAAGTTGGAACACGGTGTAAAGCATAAATGAAAATGCAAGACAATAATTTGCTAATTCTTTTCAACTTATGTTCAATTGAATTCACTACAATGACAAGATATGCAATGTTCAAATGGATAGACTTTATTGTGTTGTCGTGTTGGTTTTGTACAAATAGGGATTTTGTACAAAACCAGGCTTAGCGAGAAAACTCACTAAGCCTGGTGGCTGGGCGCTAAGTTAGTCATTCATCCAGCGGCACGTCGTGTATTTGAGGTGAAAAATGTTTAAAATTGACAGAAAATTCGAAAATATCACTTGGTAATTATGTTATTGAAAGATAACATAATTACCAAGATAACATAGTTCAGATTAACACCTGAACACCAACTATAAAGTCTTAAAAAATGCAAAGATGGGAAACTAATAAGTAACCAATGCTTAGCCTGGTGGGGGCACAAGTAAAGCCTGGTGGCCCGCCAGGCTTATAACACCCTGGGGGAAACACTGATTCACATGTTACAATACTGAATTCCACCGATCCTTTATGAGTTTAAAGCTTATTTGGGCAAATGACAGGTATGATTGTGACAGGTGGCAGATGGAAAACAGGAAGTTACTGGCAGCCGATGCCCCTTCCAGGAAGTTGGGACCGACCGATACAACCCAATATATCTGAGATTTTACATCACAGATTTACACAAAATAGTGCATTTCATTTTTTTAAGTATAGAGAAAATCTTAAAATCCAACTCCAGTCCCCCAGAGCCAACACTTACAACCAGCTCTGGCTGCAGATCCTTTTGGGTTTGTCTCTACCAGCTCACAAACATCCCGACCAGACGGGTCAAACTCTGTGTCATTTTGAGCCCTATCAAAAATGTGAATGTTCCAAAAGGGCCACTTGTGCCAGAATGTATTGATAAAACCAATTAAGCTGTTAAAATATTAATAAATAGCTGTCGCTCCAGGATTTTCTGATTGTTTTGGTGGCTTTTGCAATTAAAATCACATATTTTGCAACGCTAATTTGTAAGGATTTTTTATTATATTGGTGCGAACGTAATGATGTCAAATGTGGCTCTTCATTTTTTGCCGTCACAGATTATAACTTGACTTCAGGTAAGGAAAGAAATGTGGGAATGTGTTGATTTTGTGTACATTTTGAGGATTTGTGAAAAACTGGAGGGACTTACTGATGTAATTTGCAGTCTACGACAGTCTGTATGGATTATGACCTTTCTTCTCCATAAAGCAGATGAGGCTCATCCTGATTGGACTTCAAAGGCTTCACATAGATTCTGAAATAGATTGAGGTCTGGACTTCAACTAGGCCTTTCTTACCACCCTGAAGGTGCTCAGGCTGGGTGTTCTGCTGGAAGGTGGACCTCCACCCTCGCCTCCAACCTTCCACAGCCTCTAACAGTCAACTCTGACCAACATCTCTCCGCTTCTGACGTCTGCTTACACTGGCTTCAATTCAAATGGCTTTAATTCAAATGGGGCTGTAACAGATGCACGACTCTTATTATTGCATTAGGAGAATTTGAAAAATCACGAAGTAGACTAATACTTTCAAAAGTTGAAGTGGTGTAAATACTTTTGCAGGATATATGTGCAGCGTTTCATTTATTTATTTTTATATTCCACACAGATGTGCACCCTGACAGCTCGCTCGCTCCTCCTGTAACTAAACGAGTTAAAATCCTGAGGGGGCCCCCGGGACCCCCTTCCCCACTCCTCCTCACCTTCAGACTCCGGATCTCCGTGAGGTGCTGCTGAAGCCTCCGGTTCACCTCACGCATCAGATTGCCGTGCTCCACGATGACGGCCCTCCTCTCGGTCTCCGTCTGGCGCAGCCGCCGCACCAGCTCCGGTTTACTCCACTTCAGCAGCTCCTCGTCGGGGATTTTGGCCACGTCCTCCGCCGGACGCTCTGCGCTGTTGGACAGAGGCTGCTGGTGCTGATGCTGGTGCTGATGCTGCTGCTGCTGCAACGCGCCCTTCTCCATCATTCCGGTCAGGGAACGGAAAGTGCTGCGTGTGGCGAACCCGAGCTCAGACCACAACTCGGATCCTTCTGCGCGCTCCTCCTTTTTACCGTCTTATGCCCGCGAAATGACATCCCGCTCGTTTCGACCCACGCCCATGTTGCAGCTCCAGCTCCAGCACCCGGTCCGCTATATTCATGCTGTCAGAGCATCATCCTGCAATCCGGCCCGAAACTCCGAACAGAGTCTGGAGCCGGCTTTTACGGGGCGGGTCCCCTCCAGGTGCGTGCCGCCCCCTTTTGCGCACTGCCGTTGCTCAGTGCGCACTACAGCCGTCCAGCAACTGAGGAGGAGGAGGATGAGGAGGAAGAGGAAGAGGGAGAGGAAGGGGGGCTGCAATGAGAGCAGGCTGCAGGTTCATATCCAGAGAGCCGGGATGATAAGGTGTGTTCGTGATGACAATTCTGTCCCCGGATGCTGCTTCAGTCCCGCCCTCTATGCTAATGCCGCCTGGGCTTCTGGCGCCATCTAGTGGACAGCATTAAAAAGTGCAGCACTAAAATGTTCATCGTTTTGTTCTGTTTTTTTTTTTTTTTTTTTTTTTTTTTTTTTTTTTTTTGCTTAAAACTATACATAATGATGTCATGGGTCGTTTATTAATTATCGGCCAAGTTATTGGTAATTATTGGCAGTGTTTTTCTGTTCATTTTTTTATTCTTTTTGTTTTTGTTGCAAAAATAAAACCCTTCTTTGGTTTACAAAAGATAGTGAATGTCCAGAATAATGTGTGTGCACAAGAAACATTACAAACATTACGAACTGACAATGAAAATAAAACTTATAACATGAGATAAGTTAAAATTTAAAACCATCAGCAGATCTAAAAAGTGTGGCATGGCGTTGTATTACACAGCAAAAACTGGAGTGTTAAAATTTCAGGGTTAAACGTGTCAGAGTTCATTTTAACTCAGTAAGTGTATTTTTAACATTTAGCGATTTAAATGATGCCCAGTGTTGGGGTTATTTCGCAGAGTTGATTGCGTTGGTGTTTAATTAACTCTGCTGGGAGATAAATAAACTCCTCCCCTCTGCTTCAGTTTGATTTCAATCTGAACACGGCTCCATTTTCTTCATCTCCTGTTCTACACGGTAAGTGTCCAACTTACTAAATATTTTGTCCAGCACTATCACATTGACAGAGTGAGTGATTTGACTATTTCTACTAATTACCACATAATGAAAAGCAGCTGAATATGTCCATTTTGCAACAGTTTTACACAACATGTTAGCTGGTAGCTAGTAGCACTTACACCTGATATTATTATAATGGTAATTCTTACAAAACATATTTTGTCAGACCATACACTCGTAAAAAATATACTTATACGTTTTTGCCGTTTAAAATGATAATTTTGGCCTTGTGAATGTAAGCTAACGACTATTAGCTTCTGCGGAGCGTCAACGAGCCGAAGTCACGTGACACCAATAGCAGAGTTACAGTGAGGTGAACTCTTGACCTTTACCTTATTTTGCTTTGTCCAGGTTTATCCCATGCTTAAATAAAATGCTGATCCATGTAAAGTTTGGTGACCTGCAAAAGTATGTGAAGTTGGAGGAAGTAGAAGGGCCGTTTGACTTTAATCAGTTTCATGAGAAAGGTTTGTTATTTATTTATCATCTGTGTGGGGCATGGGCATTATTCTTTTCAATGTATGTCTGTTTAACACATATTTTACACATTTGTGGTAAGTAAAAATTGTATTTTCATTAATATGTTTTATGCTAATCACATGATCAATATCAAGTAACTGTTAGTTTAAAAAAATCCAGCTAATTACAGAATTAGGCTCTAAATCTTGCCTTGTTTTTTCAGTCATTGAACAATTTTGCCTGCCACCTGATACCAAAGTTACATACAAAGATGCAACAGATACTGAAGTTGACGAAGAAATATTCAGTGACCTCCTTAGACAAGGCAATGTGGTTCTGACAGTTTTCTGCTATGATGGTGAGATACCACAGCACATTAAATCAACTGTTATACAGATTTTACCAAAGAATGTAACTGATGTCTATTGTCTTTCTTCAGAGTTCTCAGAATGGTCATCTGCTTCTGACTCAAGCTTCAACTCAAATGCATCAACATCAACAATACTAATGGATGAGATGCCACGCAAGAAGCAAAAAACTGAGAATCCTGATAACTCAGTGTCTGCTAAAAATGTAACAATATTTTTGTCTGCCTCTAAATTCTGTTTTGTATGCCCAGACATGTTTTGTCGTATTTTGGTCATCTGCATATTGCATATTTCCTTTTTTTTTTCTTTTTTTATTGTTCATTTTATAGCTGGTTGAAGGTGTCCTACAAAGCAAGTCTGGTGGTGAAGAAATTCTGCAGGAGTATGAAACTACAGAAACCCTAACTGATGCCACAAGAAGACAAATGGTGAACATACTGGTGGCTCACGTGATTGATGAACAAGGGTATGTTTTTACACTATTTAATTTATGTATAATAATTGAAAAAAAGGTTTAATCACCAATTTAAAATCTGCTGTTAGGCACCTCCCCACAAAAGCAATCAGAGAGAAGTATGCCTTTGGAATAGTGACAAAGGCATCCCTCAAGGATCCATACACCAAAAAAGGCAATGTAATGTTTTTTTTGTTTGTTTGTTTGTTTGTTTGTTTGTTTTCTACAATCAATCATGCTCTTTTATTTTGTGACTCAAAACTGTAATTTTGCATTTAATTTTTGTTCTTTTTTTAGGAGCACTTTTATGATGCAGCAAGCAGCACTGGATACATTTCATGGCGTCTTAAAACGGTCCTAAGGAAGATTCAAAGAGGATCTCTTGTGCCATCAAGTAGCACCAATTACATTTAATCTGGAGGCCCAAATATACAGACAACTGTGATTGTTGAAAAACAGCTTGATGGGAATGCCTGCCAGGAGGCCATCTCTCTGCTTAACCACACCACAGACAGGTCCGTGATCTTTCAGAAGATGAGAGAGACTTTTGAGCACCGTCACAAGCTTATTAAAGATGCCAGTGGAAGAAATGATATATCCTGACCACATTCCGGGGTTCCTGGACACAAAAGGATTGGTAAGTGTTCAACTGAAGTCTTTAAATGTGGATTTTTACATTGTTATAATGGTTTGATTTCTACATGCTATTAAAGATTGATCAAGACTTCCGTCTCCTATTCAGTGAAGAAACCTCATCCAGACTGCTGCAGAAGTGGGATGTGTTCTTCAAACCAAATGTCATCAAGGAGGCTAAGCGTTTCACTTCTCCACCTGAGTTGAGAAGTTTGGTGCAGTCAGCGGAAAGTCTTCAAAGCGATGACCTCACTAACACATCTAGTAAGCACCTGGATATATCTGAAGATAGTTGACTATTCAGAGTATTCATAAAGTTCTGATATTATAGCTGAAAACTTTTATAAATTTGTCCTCAGGCTATGACCAAGAAATGGCCTCGCTGTTACTTCTTCTTCCACCGCAACCAGGAGGACAGAAGTCTCCAAAAATCAGTGCAAGTGATGCAGATGAGAGACTTGTTGTCATTCATAAGGTAATTGAAATTTAAAATATGCAAAATTATTTGTCTATTTCCTTTTATAGACATGCATAAATACAGATGTTTGAATGACAGCTTTGAAGATGTCTGGGCATACTTAAATTAATTTTTTATGTCATGTATCGTAAAGCTGTATGTTTTGTTTCTAATGTTTGGTGTATATCTTTTTAATTTTAGCCATGCTGCAGTTTAGAGGAGCATCTTCGGGGACAATGGGGTCTGCAGCCATACCTCCTTGCTGTTGGGCGTCAGAAAAGCAAAGATTGACAGCTTCTACATCGTCATGGATAAGTGCCTCATCCCATGCCAGACAAACAGTTCTCTTGGAACATTTGATGAGCTATTCAAAGCACATTTTGTGTTTAATTTCTCTTATGATGCTGCATTGATGAATTTCTACACATTTCTGCAGACAACAGTGTATAACATTGACGTGGGCAAAATGAAGGAATCGCCCAGAGTTAGGGACGTGAGAGCAAGGCTGCTAAACCAGTCCGTTTTGCTCTCTTGTGAGTAAGTCAGGCTAAAAAATGTTGACCTGTTTTTATGTGTCAAAAACTGTATCCAAGCGGAAACATTTGATCATCATCATGCTTTCAAAATTGTTCAAAGTGAAGAAAGGCATTTAGTAAAAATCCCTGAACTTAAATTTCTTTTGATATTCAAAACTTATGGCATTTCTAATGAATGTTTGATCATTGTACCACAATTTAAAATTTTGGGAACACAGCTGCAAAAATAAATTGTTCAAAATGTATGTACTTGTGTCAAGTTTTTTTTCTTAATAATTATTATAATTAATCATAATCATAATGAATAACACTTGAAAGTGTTAAATCAACACTAATAAAGTGGTAAATTTTTGTTCCTGGATCAGTGTTATCCAGTATATGCCACAGTGTTAAATTAACCCTGTTTTGTGAGTTAAATAAGTAACTGATAAAGTGTTAAAATTTTAACTATATTGAAAGTGTTAATTTAACTCTTGATGAGAGTGGACTATATAAGCACTGAAAAAGTGTTAAAATCAACTCTGTGGGAGTTAAATTAACACTGGACTTTTTCCTGTGTACCTTGGGCCTCTTCACTTCACCTCTGATTAATGCTCTTTGTGCCTTACTCCCACTCCTCACTCGAAGACCTTTCTGTTGTTGGCAGAAATAATTATGTCTTGTTCTAGTAAAATGATTTATTTTTCTGAACGGCAGATTGTTACGAAATAAAATGCGTGTCATAAATGTGATGGAAAACTAGAATCTTTAGTTGTTTACAACCTAAGCAGTTGTGGCTGAAGGGGGTAAAAACACATCAGCTGATCAAATCCAAACATTTTCTCCATTCAGAGTGATTTCCTGAACTCCTACAAGCTTTTTTAATGTAAAAAAATAAATCCTCAATTATACACATTCCATTTTACAAACTATCTATCCATTTTCTTCTGCTACCCCGGGGTGGGGTCGCCGGGGTAGCAGCTTAAGTAGGGAGGCGCATTTTTCTCTCGACAAGCTATTTATTACAGCTCCTCCGAGGAATCCTCAGGCGTTCCCAGGTCAGCTGAGAAACATAGTGCCTTCAGCGTATTCTTCAACATAACAATACAGGTTAGATTCAAAATGAGTTTACTCTGACCTGGAATGTTGGGTCAAACTTTTTTTTCCCCCACAGTTCTCTTCTTCTTTGCAACGTGATGCTTTAGCAGTACTAACAAAGATACCTCCTTTACAAGTACAAAACAGGCCCTGATGACTCACCGACAACAAAATATGCAGAATGTGATGCAGCCGGTTTGGAGCCCAAGCCAAGGCATGAACCTAAAGTCAAAAAAAGAGCTAGAAGGGATGAAAGAAAGCAGCAAAATGATAAGGAACTACTGACAAATTTCATACACTTAATACAATATTTGTGGTGCTGGACTAATTTGCGATGCCTGGGGGTATAATGAGTTTATTGATAGGTTCAGCTGTTGATTCATTTCTTTCAGGTGATCATTTCCTTTTAAATAGAAGCAGAATTACCTTGAAATACAACATCTGCTAATACGATCGTACAAGCTGTTTTTGTTCCAACTAAGTAGTTGGTTGCAAGTTTTAATCTCACATGAAAAAAATCCTATGAATAAAAATTAAAAATCCCCCAAAAAATAAATAAATACTGACCACTGGATATGGCCACCCTGGAAGTGGGCGTAAATGTGAATTACTCCAAGACAACTAGTTTAAGATATTATTGCACTTTCTAAATTATCTCTAATGGACAACCACCTTCCTGACAACAAGAAGTCAAATTTCAAGAAAAGCTGATAAAAGACATAACACACACAAATAACATGTACTAACTTTTTTCATTTTAATCCATAGTTTGCAGATGTATTTACATCTGCCAGTACCACACCGGTTAGCCAATTCCAGGTTGTTGGCGAAATCATGCTGAGCAACTTTCACAGGAGTTTGCATATTGCACGTAGTCTTCAATTTATTGCTTCCAAGATAGATGCAAGCAATGGGGAAGTCATTTGGTATTGTTAAACACACCCAAGCGAACAGCTGACTTCCCTGCAGGGCCGCAGAACTATGTGGGATGGGTTGTTTGACTCGATCGTTTGGATTTTTTTAAGAGGATGAGTTTCATATAAAAGAACAGACGACAGCAGTCTGTCTGCAGAATCTGTCAGGAGAAGATGGAGAAGCTGTTGCTCACACTCGTAACTCTCGTCTTGGCATCGTCCTGCAGCAGCCAGTCTCCGACCTGCAGTGACCGGCCATGTCCGAAATACCAAGTCGTAGAGAAGAACAAGGTTGGAAGCTCAAAGCCAAAATATTTGGTGGTTTCTCAATATAAGTAGAAAAAGGATTTCTATTTGCTTGCTGTGTGCAGGATTTTGAGGAGCGGCGCTATGCTGAAACCGACTGGATAACCACGAAGCTGAAGAAGAACAACGCTTCGTCACTCATGAATGCAATGAAGACACTGAGAGCTTTCTGCGACAAACAGAAGGAAGCAGGTAAGTCAGGAGCAAGAGCGTCATCTTTTTGCTTAAACAGTGATAAACAAATTGTGAAGGAAGTAATGACCAGAAGCACAAAGCAGAACAATGAAGTCAAAGTACCAAAGGTCAGATTTACCGCCAGTGTATTACAAGCCTGGCGGGCCACCAGGCTTTACTTGTGCCCCCTACTGGGGCACAAGTAAACATTGATAATTTATCAATTTTTCCAAAAGGCAAATCACTAAAGATCTAATATAAAGACAAGTTTTGCATGCATAGAGTTAGTGTTTAAATTGGAAAATCTGGAACAAGTTTGACCATAAAATATCCTACAAAGTGTGTTAAGATGAGAAGTAATTTGCATATCTTGTTGTGCCTGCAGCAAACTCAATAATAATAATAATAATTATGATGATTATTATAATGCAAATCAAATTTTATGTTTGTTTGCTTGTGGGTTTTTTATCACTTTTGCTTGAATTGAATTGTCAACCTGTCACAACTTTAAGCCTAAGAAAATCTATGTTACTTTGTTTTTTTTTTTTTTTTTTTTTGCTCTTTGACTGAATAATATGTCAATATGTCTGGCCTGTCAATATGGCTGACCTGTTCTTCTTTAACAAAAAGAAAAAAAGACAGGTGTTGGATGTTATAGGGACAGGGGGAGAGAGTACGGGCAAAATATATTACTTTAGACAATGAAAATGTTCTCCTGTTTTATAGGCAATGCTCTGTCATGTGAGAGAAAGAGAAACTCCAGAGCTAACCACTGAAGCCAGACTGCAGTTCAGCTGACAACACATGATGTCAAACTGGCATTTCCACTTTAAGAGGCTTTATCTGCACATAATTCTTCTGTGACGGTTTCGTCTTCTTTTCCAGGTCACGACATCATTGCAGGCTGGCCCGCACTGATAACCATGACAGATGATGTGACTCCTTCTATTTACTTGTCGTGGTTTGTTTCACCCAGCTCGAAGCCTGAGCCCATCAATACATTGGTCACCGAGCAGCACCAACCCGCCGCCACCATCTATGTCCGGTGAGCATTGTTACCTTGTTTAAACTCAACCCAGTTAGAAAACATTCTTGTAAAAAGTTGTTTCAAGGTTTGTCATGTGTAATCAGGTGGAGCAGGCAATACGGAAACCAAGGTAAATGGACATAAGTCAAAGATAATGCTAATCACTTTAAGACCCTTAAAAGTCCAAGATGGTCATCCACCTTGGAAGGAGGTCTTCCTCTGCTAGGATTCTGGGCCGTTCCCGCATCATCTCTCTCAAAACCACAAGAAAATGCCCAGCACTTGGTTCGAGGACCCTGAAAGAGTCCTCCCAAGACAGCCGTAGCAGTGTTCTGTGTGCATTGTCTTGAACCAAAAGAAATTTACGGGGTTTTATGCTCTTTGGAAGAAATGACTGGGGCAGGCAATCGTGAACTTTCCTGTTCTCTCTCCTCAGGTCTTACAGCGGAATCCCGAGCTACGCTGCTGCTATGAAAAACAAAAGAATCCTCATAGAAGCCTTGACTAAAGCAGGAAAGAAGTTTATTTCTGACATTTCTATTGGGGCTCACTATGAGTCGTCCTTTGATTTCAATCACTACAATGAAGTCTGGATATATAGCGCCTGAAAGAAGCTGACGGGATGTGATGGTCCCCCTGCGTCAAGTCATCATTCTGGCTTAGCTGTACCTGTTTTCTTGTTTTCTATCCTGTGTTAGTACTCTAGCTTAGTTAAGCAGTATTCCAATCACCCAGGCAGGGTCATGTCAATGTTTTTCATGTGCCCCTCTGTCTCCCCATCCTTTTCTGTACTGCTGAAAATAGTTGAGAACAACAAAAAGAAAGAAAAGTCTTTTTTTGTTGTTGTTTTTATTTTTTTGGTGACACGGAAGGGGAATTTGAAGTCTTCTTCAGAGGAAGTTTTCCTGATTCAGGGAAAATATGGTTTCAGTCAAACCAATTTTCTGGAAAGTTTTGACCCATTGCC